GTACTCCGAGAGCGCGCCTGCACTGCTAAAGGGTTTCAACCAGCCCACCACGTGGTCCCCTGCTTTGAGCCCCTCCACGCCCTCGCCGACCGCGACGGCCGTTCCGCTGAGGTCGCCGCACGGTATTTTGGGGAAGCTGAACATGGCGCGGGCGGCGAGGCCGAGTTCGGGCATTTTGTAGTCGACCGGGTTGAGGCCGGCACTGGCCACCTTCACGAGGATCTGGCCCGGCTGCAAGCTAGCGGCGTCGGGCCGGGGGACGTCGGTGGCCAGCCGGAGGGTTTTGGAGATGGGCCCGTGGGTCGCGAACTGCCACGCCTTCATTGTTTCGGCCATGGCAGGCTTGACACCGGAGATCCGGGGGGGTTCTGCTAATGTGTTTGTTCTTTTCACTTCGGAGTCTGCTGCCGTCCAACTGGCAGACGTTTGTTCGTATTTTCCACTTTTTAGGTCTTTAGGTAGCGAGTGATAGTAGAGGAGCCCTTCGACGCGTTGCAGTTCAAGTCGACGAACTGTTGATAGGTGGAGCAAGAGATGACACAGATTAAATTCCCGAACGACAGCTTATCCCCTTTTTGTTCGCTGGTCAGGCCTCCTCATGATGCAAGACCAGTTCTTCCGCTCGCGTAAGGCGGACTTCTTCGCTCTCAAAGCGGACATTCTTTACTTGTAGAGTGGATTCTCATTGCTCCCGGAGCCGGTTTATATTGCCTGGCAACGAATGCAATGCAAGTCCGCTCGACCTCCGCCGCTAGCCATTTCGCTTGCGGACCTGCAACCCTCATACCAGTGCACCGTAGCAAAGCCATGGGGAGAGCGGTCAAGGGGAGGTGCGGCATCTGAATACTCAGGGGTCGTGATGCGAAGGCAGGGTGCTTCAGCACACGGCCAAGAGAACATGACCCACCAGGTCTCGACATCTCAAGTGTCTGGTGTTGACCATGGCAACCCCTGTCGCACGCTATGCATGTCCTCCAGCTGGACCTCGATGGTATACGCTGGGACTTTACCAGGTAAAAGCTCGCAGAGGGGATGGTTGATAGTATTCTGACATAAGTAGCAAACTTGAATTCGAATGTATCGCTCCAGGAGGTATCACCATGTTTGACTAAACAATTCATTCTAATAGTGGGTATTCTTAATGCAGTCACTGAGCCTAGCCGTAGAAGTATAGGTTCGAGGAGTGCATCGGCAGGGTCACCATGCCTATAATCTTCAAGTGAATAGGCAGGGCGTAGCAGTCTGCCCAGGGCTCAAAGGATGTCAAGACAACTATAGACCGCTATACCTATTCGAATCCACTAATACAAAGCCTACAACGAGAATGAAGCTAAATAGGTGAATCTCATCCACAGACATGTTTATTTGTCAAGTGCAAGCCGCAATGTCTTGCGTTTCCAGGGACCCATCATGCGGCCTCTGGACAGAAGAATGAGCATGGCGTGGCCAGGAGACGCCATGTCCCAGGGTCCAGAAGCCAAGATGCTCGCCCTGATAGCCTAGAACTCGTTGACTTAGATCCCATTGAGGCATTGTTCCAGGTCATCTGACTCCGTTACGCCGTTGACCTCTAGACAGGAGCCATACAAGGGTAATTCGTAGACTATCCTGCATCCTGGTGAGATTGTTGGGCACGGACCATCTGCAACTGAGTCGTCGGAATCCTGCCCCAGCTGGTGATCTTACCCACTCCCTCTCATCGCCGTCTTGCTCTAGTTCCTAGATCAATGAGTTGTAGAGCTTGTCCCGAGGCCCATCTCCTGCCGCCACGCCATGCGCTTCGAGTGTGATTACCCAAACTGCCAACGCTCGTATCTCCGGAAAGAACACCTTTCAAGACACCAGCGCAACCACGCCAACCTGCGATCATTCGCCTGCGCTGCATGTCCAGCCACCTTCAACCGCAGGTGAGCTACATTTGTCCCATGCGGACCTCGCGCACTGGAGTAACGTGACTCGCAGCGATCTTTTGCACCGCCATGAGGCCCTTAATCACGGGCAGCCTGCCGACCCGGTCGACCCGGTCGACCCGGTAGTGGCCGAGGGTAGCACCGGGGCCGTGACGCTCAGCAGCCCGTTGAGCATCCTCCCCAAGATCAAGGAATCAGCCGGACCGACATACCTTGACTTGTCGGCCAAGTCACGAAGCGAGCTGCTCGACGCCCCCGACCGGGTCGAGCTGCAGAACCTCTATTTCACCGAATTCCACAAAGAGTGGCCCATACTTGACAAGGATGATTTCTACCACAGCCCGCAACCACCATCACTCGTGCTATCTGTCCTGGTTGTGGGTATGTATATGAAAGGCACGCCCGAAGCCAAGGCCATGGCGCTCAAGTACCACGAAGTGCTGATCAAGAGCGCCCTCCACTTCGTGAGTCCACTCTCTGCTCTCATGGCAACCTCCCTGTGAGGTGCAACGCTCACGAAGAAGCGCAGTTCAACATGATCATGCCCCTCGTGCCGACACCCGCCCCGCGGCTGGATCTCCTGCCCGAGATCCAAATCCTGATGCTTCCCGTCATACTAGCACTGTATTGCTGCAGTGACGGGCCCTATCTTCTCCAGGTGCTCATGTGCAACAAACACCTCTTCACGCTCCTTGAGAATATGGGTGTGTTTGATCAACGCCGGATCGATGCCGAGGTGTCGAGCGAGACGCATCGAGAGCAGTATCAGCGGTTGGAAACCCCTCTCGACTATCATGTCGACTTTGCAGGCTGTATTTGCTGACGAACCCAGGTTGGCGCTCATGCAATTGAAGCTGTATCTCCACGTGAACACGCTCATCATCGAACGCAACGCACAGTTTACGCTCAACAGCCTCCTGAGCCCTGCCAAGGTCAACGTTCGGGTACCGGTGCTGGGGCGCACCAAGCTCAGGGACGCAGGCGGCGCCGTCCGACGAGGCCCGTCACTTCTCGTTGGGAGCTTGTTCGCCAAGGACGCGGACCCGAGGAACTTCAGGGACATCTCCGAGGTCGTGGCTTGGGACTTTGCATTAGGCATGGCGCTGGGGTGCTATCTGGCTCGGGAACCCGGCGAAACCGAGACTGAGTTGATTCAAAGGACGAAGCCGTTTCTCGTATTGCGCTGAAATGACACCCGTTGGTATTCAGTCACCTCCAGGCCCGCCCTTGCCCAGATCTCGACGCACCCTCCAGACTCTCGAACCCACCGGCCGCTTCTCATTCCCGCGCAGGACCTCGACCCATGGCGTCTCGGCCACATCGCCGGCCATACCCAGGTCTTCCGGCTCAGCCTCCGAGTCGTCATTGTCTGTATCCTCTTCTGTGATCTCCGTCTCCCTCTCGTCAACGGCAGTCTCGCTGTACGTCCGCGAGTATGAGTCCTCAGTGTATGCCCAACCAGGCGTGTCAAACCTACCGTGCACCAGCACGAGCTGCCTGCCCGCCTTGCGGCTCTCCTCAATGGCGTGCACCGAAATGGGCGTCAAAAGCTGCAGGCTCTTCTTCGCAACGTCGATGCCGCGGAGGAGCACAAGGCCAAGAGTTTGCGAGTATCGCGGGTCGAGTGTCTGTGATGTAGGATTGGAGATGAATGGGATTCCCTCCGGAGACCGCGAGACACGAGGTCCCGTCGCAGTTGCGGCTGGCTTATCGTCCACGTCCATACTGGTCTCAGGATCCACAGAGACATCACCGAAGGCTTTGAAGTCGACTTCGGGCAGAAACCTCAAGGCCTTGCCATCCTCAATCTCGACGAGCGCCAGAACAGATCCGTTGATCGCTTCCGCCAAGAGGTTCGCTGGAGGCTGGAACTCGTAACTGAGGATCGCCAGGAACCCAGAGATGTCTCCGGCGTACTGCACCTGCAGAGGAGGGACACTTGTCAAAGGAGCAGGGTCCCAGATGACCTGTCCAGTACTTGCCCTGATGGAGTGAAAATACGACATGGTCTGCATAGAGCGCAGATGGGCCGCTGTTCGCGAAGTGAACTCCGTTTGCTGCGAGGGTAGAGTCGTGAAATTAGTCCTCGTGGCGCTGCGTAAAGCGTCAACGCTCTCCGTTGGTCCGTCCTCAGACATGTAGATAACGTCCGTCGGCGCTAATTTTGATATGAGCTCCGTCAAAAGATCAAGACCTGTTCCGAGAATCCAGCCGGGGGTGTTGATGATCAAAGGACGGTTACGCAATGCAGATTGCTGGTAGTGATGAAATAGATCTTGGGCACATTCGACATAATGCTCGGGGTCTGCTGCTGGTGAGATGGATGCCGTGGCATGACACCGGATGACGCTTGCATCTGTGGTTTCCGGTACGGCATGTGTGAAAGAGGGGCCTAGATTTGGCGTTTTGACATGGACAAGCGACATGGTGCCAGCAGGACTGAACTCAGGCTGCCCAGGGTCGAGGTCCAGTATGGCCACAGCAGGTCTCTTCGCTCGTTGGGACGGCGACGTTAACAGCCGGTTAGCCAGGATGCGGCCGAAAGTTGATTTCCCTGAAGACTTTGGCCCACAAAGAAAGACGACCGGCGCCTTGCTCCCCCCCCTGGCCACAAGTTCCGCCAGCTTCTTATTCCAGGCGGGATGCGACACCAGATCTTGAATCACAGCCTTTTTTGGCGCATCGGCCGCAGTTCCGATCTGAAAGGTCAGATTTTTCCATGATCGGAGGGTATCATGACTGAGAAGGTACATACAATCTGGAAAGTTGAAGCCAGTTCATTCTTGGCTCCTGTTCCAGGCTTTGAAGGTTCGTTCCAGAGGCTGCGGAACATAGGCGACAGCCTCTCGAGCCGGCGCAGCTCGATGGCTCGGGGGTGAGGATGCAGCTCAATCTTCGTATCCTCCGAGCATCGCAGCACAGGAATGGCGTGGCAATGGGCCGCATGTGCCCATATGATGTTGTCGGTTTTGTTCAGTGTTGCGCCAGCGATGGTGACCTCACCGCTGACGACACGAATACCGAAGCTGCCGAGAACAAGAAATCGCTGCACTCATGTCAGTCGCCAGAGGTTGGGCTAGCATTTGAACCGCCTCACCTCGCTTGTGCTGAGTCTCAGCTGGAGAACGCCCCCCGCGAGTTTCCGAGCATTCTGCTTGTTAGGCCTGAACGTTGAAAACTGCTGTACAGGGGCAAGAGGCAGGCCATTGTCGCTGGTGGTCAATGACGCCCCAGATACAGGCTTTTTGGCTGGTGATTCCTGAGCTATGACGGTGGCTTCCCGGCCCCCGGGGCTGAGTGAGGGTTGCGGTGATGGCGCATTCAAAGAAGCTTGCTTCCTTGCGGATCGTCGCCCAGCAGGCAGTGCGGCTGACGCCGAGATCGGGCTTTTAGGAGCTGGCGAGGATGCTGAGCTTGAAGGCTCAGAAGGAACCGCAGTGGTAACCGTACCCTTTGCAGCCAAGAGCTGGCGGCGCAGAGAAAAGGCACTCATAGCTGTGCCTAGTTAGTGGTTGTTCGGCAGAGATACGGGATAGCGCTGGCACATACGTGCAAGGTCATCGTCGGACTCGAATCTTCGGCGTTTTGGGGTGCTCATTGGCGAATGTTGTGAGTTGCCTCTCTGAGATCAGACCGTGCTGACAACATGGGCAAGTGAAGATGCTGGGGATGCAGGTTTAGGTGACCAAGCTTGGCTGGTCCAGGTTTTCGGCAGGTGTGTGGGTCACTACGACCAGTGTGAAGAGTAAGGCTCCTTACTGCACATCAGTTACATGGGGTGCAAACCAGTCAGTCAGTCTTTGGAATCAACCGTCCAGGTTCGAAGAAGTTCAGAAATGCAATAAAAATAAGAACATGCCATCAGCCCTTTGGCAAAGCTGCATCATCTCACGAACCTTACCTCTTGCCTTCTTGTCTTCTTCAAGAAAGATCATCTTCTCCGGGGTGCAAGAGCAGCGGAAGAATTTCGGCACCCTCAGGACGCGCTAGGCTGAAAACGCGCCATCGATTGGCTCCTGCCACCCCAAGCTGCCTGTCCAGTGGGACCTTCCAACCCCCCGCTTGCAGCTGCGATCTTCACCGCGCCTGCTCCAAAAAAAAAATCCCAATCGTCGTCTGGAGCTTGTTTGACGAGTCGCGCAATACCAGAAAAAAGTCCCTATTCGCAACTCCAACCCAGGCCAACATCGCGCAAGGCCAATCGATTGCGACAACACATTGCATCCGAAGCGCTGTTAGCATCAACATCATGTCGAAGCGCCGTAATCTCGACGGTGTCGCTTCGCTTCGCGGTTTCCTTGCCAAGGCCGGTGATGACCTTGACGCTACGCCCAGCAGCCAGTCGAAGGCTCAGACCAAGAAGAAGGCTGCATTCGATCCCCGCGCCGAAGACAGCGACAGCGAGAGCGAAGCCGCCAGCAACAGTGACAGCGACAGCGATGCGGCCCTTCCTGACCCTGCGTCCTGGAATCGCCTGAACAAGTCAACATCGACCCCTACCAGCCAGAAGGGAATCGCGCCCTCCAAACGTACCCCGCGCAGCAACAGAGAGGAGGTCGCCGATAGCGACGACGGACGCGATTCCAAGCAGAACAAGAAGAAGGTTGTCAAGAAGGCCGCATCCTCTCCCTCCGACTCTTCCTCCGACTCTTCCTCCGACTCTTCCTCCGAACCCGTCGCCAGCTCTGACTCGAGCGACTCCGAAGACGAGGCGCCTGCCAAGAAGATCACGAGGAAGCCTGCTTCAAAGGAGAAAGAAGACACATCGTCCAGCGACTCGTCTTCTCCTGCCGCCTCTGGCAGCGACTCGGATAGCGATTCGGGCAGCGACGATAACGCCAACAGCAAGAAGGCTGCCAAGTCTCTGATGAATGGCAAGGCAGCGCCTTCCAAAAAGGCTGCGTCGACTTCCAGCTCCGCCTCTAGCTCTGCTTCCGGCTCTGAGAGCGAGGCTGAGGAGCCTACCAAGAAGAGCAAGAAGGCCAGTACCAAGAAGACGGCCCGCAAGGAGGCAACTCCTGAAGAGAGCTCAGGGAGCGAGGAAAGCGAGGCGGAAGAGCCCACCAGTGCTTTTGAGACTCAGAAGGAGCCCGAGAAGGTGACCGAATCTCTTGCCGTTGCGCCGCAACCCAAGAAGACTGCTACCAACGGCTTCCAGGGCGAGAACTTTGTCTTGCGCCCTGTGCAGGGCGATGAGGACGGCAAGGATGTGCAAGACTTTTTCGCCCAGGCGAAACGCGAGGGCAAGCAGCTGTGGTATTTCACTGCACCCGCCTCTGTCCCCATCAACGTTATTGAGCAGCTCGAGATTCCCATCCATAAGATCCGCAACGGCGAGCCGGTCTTCAAGCATGACGGTGCGGACTACGGCGTCAACGTCAGCAACGAAGCCGCGAACCCTACCTATCAGGTCCTCATCCCGAACAAGAAGGGAGTCCGCTATGAGCCCCGTAAGTCCACACACATTTTGAATCTCCACAAGATCGCGCTAATACGGGTCAGTCGCGCAAAACGTCGATCAGGTCATGCGCATCAAGCGCATCATCCAGGTTCCGAGCCCTGCCAACGCCGAGGTCGCCACTCTGCCCCTGGCATCCAGCAAGGGCGCCCGCCCTCAGCCCAAGGGCCTCAAGGCTAGATACCATCCTATTGGCGTGCCTGCAGACGAGGATATGGGCCAGATTGGATCCGAGTCGGGTGACGAGGCGGAGGACGTTGAGATGACGCAAGCCCCCGAGCTGCCCTCTTCCAGCCAAAAGTCCAGCAAAAAGGCCTCTACCACTACCAAGAAGGCGAAGCGCAAGGCGGCCGAGGTTGATGAAGAGGCTGCTTCCTCTCAACTCGTCGGAGAGGAGGAGGCTGCCCTGAAGAAGAAGAAGAGCAAGAAGCAGAAGCGCTCAGTCGAGGACACACCAACCTCCACCCCCGCCGCGCCCTCTCAGGAGCTCCAGACACCGAGCCAGCCCGAGCTTCCGGCGCCCAAGTCTGGCAAGAAGTCCAAGAAGGCCACCTTGCCTGCGCCCGCCAGCTCGCAGGCGTCCAAGAAAGAGACGCCGATCCTGCCGCCGGCGGTGCCGCATCGCGCGTCTGTATCCACGCCGACTGTGAAGAAGGAGAAGAAGAGCAAGAGCTCGTCCGCCACGCCAAAGCCGAAGTCGAAACAGGCGCGTCCGCCAAGCCCGTAGAAAGGGATTTGGTGGTGAGTGTTTTACGTTCGAAACGTGTTGCTGCGAACCCGTTGAGGCGAGAGCAAGCTTGCTCGCTCGTGCTGCAGGACGACAAGCGGATGGGTCAATGTTGGTGCAAAGTTTACTCTGCACTGGGGTCGGCGATGAGAGATGTTATGCTTCACCATTCTACCGTGAATGTGTAACCTCGAACGTACCATCTCGTACCCCTGAACTCCTCTCCCCTTATCTGCACGACTCCGGAAACCCGGCCGTCGTGGCTTGAGTTGAACCAGCCACGATTACATGGCTCACTTATATCTCTTGCACATTGCAGAACCTTTTTTTTCTTCTCACACTTCTCGGCATCCAAAATAGGATGAGCGGTCCGGCGTTCGGCTTGCTTTATTACGCGGTGGGGAAGACGTCGTAGAGGGGGGTGGATTTTTCTCTCGAGCTACGTGGCCCAGATTCTCCGTTCGTCATAAGGAGGAAAGCAGGGACGGCTCGGGCGGGCGGTGATACCAGACATGAGGTTCTTCATCAACAGGCTATGCAACACCAGGCGTGCATGCGTAGGTAGTCGCTTGTAGAGACGGCCAATCGATGAATGTGCCAACCAGTGCCACGTCCGAAGCTCGTGATGAGCACCCTCGCGTCCCCGCCTTTGCCATTCACAAATACGAAAAAGCTGTGCTGGTGTTCACATTGAACGGCTATCAGCCGGATAGCCAAATTCGCGATCAGCTGATCAACATGCGTAGCGCCCACCAGGCCCCACGGGCTCGCTCGACGCAGGGCTGAAGGAGCCAACGGCCATCGAGAGGTCTGCAACGTGCGTGCTTCCGTGGTTGCTGTGTAGAAATGGGAGCGGGAAACTGGGTGCGTGTGCATATATATGCCGGCGCCCTTCAATGTTTTCTATTATTATTTTTTGTTTGTTTTTTTGAGGATCCATCCATCCCGCTTTTTCATTGTTCGTCGCCATGTTTTCTCAAGACGATGATGTGTGCTACGTGGGAAGATTCCTCGACAATACAACTATTGCCTGCACACAGCTGACTTTTTTTTCAGACCTGCGACGCAAGTGACTTTTGTCGGCTTTCATGTAAGTTGGCAAGGGGGGACATGGTGGACATCATGTCGAATCTGAACGACCAACTCGCGACGGGAAGATGAACCGCGTCAAACGTCAGCGGTGGTCTATGAGTAAGTTCCATTTCCCATGTCTTTCTCTCACAACACCCACGTCACAAGCGCGAGAACCAGGATTATTCTCATCTCTCATCTCAATTACTACACAGTAGCGAGTGCTCTACCTCTACCCCGTGGTAAGTTGGCCTCCGCATTACGTTGCGACACTGCTCTCCGCTAGCAGGCGCAGGCGGAGGACCCCGGAGCCGCCAACAGCCCGAGATCCCCCTTTCAAATACATTACTTATATGTTCTATGTTCCAGGTATCCCCGTTCCGTTGGTCTTATGTGCAGTTCTCCCGAACTGTCAAGCCTGCGTTGGGATTGTCCGTTTCACATCGGTCGTTCCTATGCAAAATGTGGCCATTTCGTTCTGTCGTTGCCCTGCCCCGTGTCTTTCTTTCCTGAAAGGCCGGCGAGGACCCCAAGCTCCTGCTGGTCGCCGCCTCCATTATGTAAAAACACCCTGGTACGCCATTGCTGTGCTGATGCAAGAAATTCGAATGCTGTTTGGACGGTCGTCGGATGAGAACGAGTCTTCGTCGCTCAGCGTGAAGCGAGTGGATTGAAGCGGCTTTACCCACCAAACGGTGAGCGTGCCAATGTTCGGCGGACCGAAATTCTGGTGAAGAAGGTTTGCCAAGTGGCAGTTTGCAACCGCTGCCGGGTTACCTGATCACGACGACTTCGCTGAGATCGCCGTCATGTGGTGGGACGCCGCCATCCCACATGTGACCGTGAGGTGTCATCTCGACAGAGAAAACGCCTTGCGGGTGTCCCTCGTCGGACGGCGCAGGACTCAATGTGCCGCTGCCGCTCGTAGAGAGTGTGCTGCAGCTCGAAGTGCTGCCAACGGTCCATTCGTCGCTGTCGGCAGAACGTTGGCGGTGCATCAAGCCGAGGCTGTAAAAGTCGCCGTACTCCTCATCCACAACCTTCTTTTGCTCGCCAATCTCGACATACGTGTACTCGAAGCGGGTCGCCTTATCAGACTGCTGCTTGGGCAGGTATCGAGTCTTCGCGGTGTAAAAGATGGCTGCAGAAATCAGGGATCCGCCAACAAGGTCGACGGCGTAGTGATGGTTGAGGTACATGGTCGCCCACCAAATCCAGGCGACGTAGGAGATGAAGAAGGCACGGAATCGGGGGAAGCAGTAGATCATGAAAAGAGCCTCGAGGACTGCATCGGCGGCGTGGAGGGAGGGGAAGGCACCAAAGGTTAGAGGGGTCCCGTGGTGAAGTTTTGTCGTGTACATATCAACGCCTAAAATCTTGTCGACACGAGCAAGGCCGGCAGGTGAGCCCTGCATTCCGTAGGCGGTTGGCGCTAGGTTTCGCTCCTTCTTTTACTATGGTGTTGTCCAGTGTATTTCCTTTTTGTAAGGTGATTCTTATTATGC